CTTGCGCCAACGACTTCGCCTTCCTCCGCCAACGTTTCCTCGCCTGTGCTACGTGACACTCGTCCCATTGCCGCTCCTCCCTTTCGAGCTTTACTTGATGCATAGAGCAGAGCAAATGCTATCAATTTTGGGCGATTACACGATCTGCAGGGTACCCACAAAGAGCCGAAAGCACTTCTTTTTTCAGGCAAATATAAGGTTTATGACTCGACAAAGCTTCACAAGGAAAGAAGCTAGCTACTTCGAGTATTTATCGACTCCCAGTCAATTCATGAATCTTTTTTACCAGCCTCGCCAAACCTAGGATGAGATTGTATCTTGTATCAAGGCACGGGACTAGACAATGTTCCACGCTGTCAAAAATCTCCAAAAGAGGTCGAGCATAGAATGCGATATTTCTTTCAGTATACGCACGGGTGTTATATCCGTATTTGGCATCTTTGATGCCTCTGCCTGAAGTCAACTTTTGCCTAGTCGTGTGTTGTTTGTAATTGCATAACACCCCCAAATACAGTATGACTTTCCAAGACCATAAAAGGCTTGAGATGTCATTGCAATAACCAACAACCTCGTGATAGAGTCCCGCCTCACTAAGAGAGTCGTTTTTTTGGCTGATCCCAATGACCACGAAAGTCACGCGGTACAATAAAGCACAGTTTTATGCCGGTACGCACAGAGCCGACTACTGGGGTTTTCTTGCTCAAGATGTGTTGCTCGCCCTTACTTTGAAGATCAAAGTTACGTAGGAGTAAGAGGATACGCAAGGCAAAAATAATTCATTTTACCGCAGATGTTACATTTGCGAAATCGCGAAGCTTCACAGTAGCCTGGATATTCTTCCTAGCATGGTTGAGGTTCATCGTCTATGGCGCGCTGGTTAATTTTATTTTTACAGTACCATATCCTAACGGAAGTTCTATATACATCGCCCACCTTATCCGAAAGAGGTAGAATAGACGCAAAAAGAGTTACACCCGTTCGTTCAACCTCCATCCCTGTTACCGCTGCAGAAGAGAGTCAGATGTCATTGCGGAGACTATTGCCTTTAACTCTTGGGCATAGTCCGCCAGTTCTCACCCTCCCTAACGGAAAGCAAGAAGTTTGAGTCCATCCGATATGCCATTTTTGCGGTGCGAGCATTTGCGATATCTACCGCCGCAAACCGTATACGTTGTAATTATCTTTTAGTGAGATATTGCATCCTTCTTTACTTGCACGACCTCCCAGCTTGCAGATCGCAAGCGACGCGCTGGGGAGCGCCCCCGGCTCTTTTACCGCCACTCCTGATCCTATCTGAAAACAAGATAGATAAATGTTTGTCAAGTTAGTTAGTTCGTTTCAAGAATACGATTTCGAATAGATATGTTATATCTTGCATTAAATGCAGGTCTTTTACAAATCTTTCGTGTGACTGACTACAAGTATTACCAAGTGCAACAGGGTTGCCGTGTACTATGCACAGAAGAAGCTTGGCTCTCAAATAAACGTATAGAATGGATTTCTGTGCGTTTGTCAAGAGTGGAGCCGATAGCTCAACGCTTTGCTATATCAAAAGAACAAATACAAAGGCGGTACCTCTTGCTTGTTTTTGTGATATCATGTCGTATGGTTGTTCAATTACTGTACTATAATTAAATAGTTGTATAAACACAAGGTCAAAGTACGTGCCCCGTTACATCCCACCAAGGTTCAACGTGACACTGATCATGAAAAAGGCTACAAACATGCTACCCGACAAGGGTGTCCACAACCTATCATAAGTATAAAAAAGATGTCACAACTAACACAGTCAAGTCTTTTGAATTTTACTACCAATTTCGATCATTCTGTGGACATGGCTACTCGTACTCTTTGCATTGAGCTTATTACCTTTTCTCGAAGTTCAAGTTGTAAACACATGCCATCAAATTCCTTCAAAAAAAAGGATCTTGAACATAGGAACAACGGAATAGAATTTTGATAGGAAGATCTCATCTAATGGACATGGATAGATCTGGACAGTATCATCATAGAAAAAGAAATTCAACATCAAGTTGGTTAATACTGGACTGTCTTTTGAGGGGTAGGGCTGTCTCCTGGCTTTTAGAATACTTTTCAATTAGTCTGACATCAAAATTCGCTAACGAACGTAAAGAAGACGGTTTGCGACTTTATCCAAGTGCTCGACACATAAATATGGACGGCATGCAGCAGCAGCGCGTTCTGGCTGACGGTTGGGGTCAGCAAAGTTCTGGCAGCGTCTTTTGCGCTGACTCGAGTCTGCGTTACATCTATGAGAGTCACGCTCTTGCGTCACAGCAGAGCAGCTATAACACCAGCAACAAAGCGTCATCTCACGTCTACAATAGTAAGAATCATCATTCTAACGACATGATAATTGCTGGAAAGCGTCCTCGAGATTATTCGACTGACGACCAACGAAGTTATGAAGGTATCGATCTTTTCGAGGCAGAAATTGCTCGGGCTTGCAATAGTATTCGGAAACAAGGAGCTGATTTGCCTCATTCGTATGGCGAGTGCTCTGTCTGTTTGAGCACCAACGCATACGCACAAATCTCTTCGTGTGGTCACATTTTTCATCCAAATTGCTTCTTGAGATGGTTTCGATTAAATCGATCCTGTCCACTTTGTCGTGGTGCAGTGGACAAAGTTCAGCTTGCGCAGACGATTACAGTCCAAGACGATTTGGAGGCAATGATAGCTGAACTTGACGATGAGCCACTTCATTTAGTCTCGCAGCAACTTCCACGTCTAGAGTCTGAATTGGATGATCCGTTGCTCACGAACTCAGACCAATTAATGTCGTTTTTCGAGTCGGATTTGAATGCAGACATGAACCTCGTAGCATTTGACGAATTGAGTTCAAATGATATTCCGACAGAATTTGAACTGGCTTGCAAGCAGCAAACGGACGGAGATGAAGCAATGGAAGTAGAGCTTGATGATAGGGTAGATACTAGAGACAATCAAGAGGTTGAGAGATATGTGGTGCAGCAGTATCCACCGGCGTCGACTGTGCCGAATTATTGGAATGTATTGAACCAGGGAATCGCGCCATCTATCATGCCACCAGCTCCTGCTGTCCCACCTTTTGTGCCGAACCACCAGAAAATGGTTCACATTGCACCAAAGCCAGAGATCAGAACGGTGCACCAGCAAACCCGATCAACGACTTTTAACACGACAGAAAAACCATTTCAAAGTTCAGTAGCTCGATTCTCGCAGCAAACACCAATTCACCAGCATGTGACTCGTTCAGTATCATGCAGGTGCACTGGAGGCTGCCGGAACGGTCGCTGTGCGTGTGTCAAAGAGGGCGGTATGTGTGGTACCTCGTGCCGCTGCACATCTTGCAAGAATCCCTTTTTGATGGTCAAAGCAACTGGCGCAGATATGACTGCTCTGTTTGAAGACCATTGCTTCATGCACAATGTGTCGAAGACTCGAGATATGGTACAACGATTACAGGAAACAGTGTCTGTACCATGTTGTGAGACTATGATGAAGGTCGTCGACTGTGTGCACGGCTTTAAATGCAAGCCATGCAATCGCGACTATAAGTTTTCATGGTGTTTGAGTAAACTATTAGACAGTGAACGTACTCCGCGCAATCATTGTGCAATTTGTAGACGATGCTGTGATCACCGCGACGTTCACTGCAATGACTGCGGTCGATGCTATTTTGCTGGCGTAACTGCTAGCCTTCCATGCCCATGCAGAGAAGCGTCAAGTCATAAGAAACGTCGTGAGATTGCGCTGGTAGATAAGACGGAGGAAGCGGAGGATGAAGCTGACGGTGATTGCTGTATCATGTAGTTTCCACAAATATGTGTTCCGGCTACTTCGTTATTAAGAAATAAAAATTCTAGCAGCAAGAATGTTCAAAACAAATTTACATGTTAACAAAGAAGTATTTCTTGATCAGCGTGTTGAAACTGTGCAAACTAAACGAGATTCCTTTGCCAGATCGAACTTAAACCCTTGAGAAAAGTTGCAGCGCCTATCACTCATTTCAATATGACGTCAGGTACGCAATTAGCAAGATGCTTTGATAGCATAGCTTCTATACAAACCGGCTCTGTTCCAGTCTGCTTATGCGGGATACGTCAAACACTATTGCAATTTCACCTTTCGACAGCTAGAGTGACCAAACCAACGAGCAATAAAAGGCAACATAGCCGAGGTATTGCACAATTTGCAAATTACGTCTTCGGACGATTTGTCTCGATAATGACTCGACGGATCAATTAATGCGAAGGTTGGGCTCAAATACAAATCCGTTCGATACCAGGGCTCGTTTGACAAATTTCTATCCATGCCACGATAGCCGACATCGTTAATTTTGTGCCTTGATCACTTTAAGATCATTCAAAAATGCGATCGCTTCCTGCGAAAACGTAGGAAGGTCTACCTGGCCACTCCATTGCAGACATTTTCCGTTCAGTTTCGAAGCCGCTTCAAGCTGTGGCTGTGTCAAAATCTCTTTGATGTAGCCATTTAAGAACGATTGATAAAACGAAGTAAAGTCTACTGCCGCGATGCGATGAAGCAATTGAATAACTTCATCGCGGAGTAAATTCATCTCGCCACGTGTCAAAATGTTCATTAATGTAGAGAGAAAGCCCATTCGCAGCTCACTTTGGAAGCCTGTAAACGCAAATAGCCCATGCGTTTTGTCGACTCGGTCTAACAAACTTAAAACCTGTTTGCAGAGCCGAGGTGCCAAGTCCGAGTCTTCGCGGCTCAATATACTCGCAAGACTTTGAAAAATAGACAGGAAGTAGACGTGTGTTTGCTGTGATGCATAAGCACGCTCGCGTGTCCCATCAGAGGTAAACTGACCCGAGTGTATAATAAAGAAGCGAAAGTGCTTCTCCAACAATTGCTCGATCATAGCCACATAAAACCTTAAGATGATCGAGTTGCTTTCAGGGTGGGAGAAAATCACCTGTTAGATTACACGTATACAAAGTCAGTAAAAGGGTCAAAAGACTCTGCAAAAACTTTAACTACCTCCTTCAGCGGACCGAAACACAGATCCAGAATATTCTGCAAGAAAGTATCAAAGACCGAGGTCGGTTCTTCGACGACAATTTTCAAAAGCTGCAGAAAGCCACAGAGTACCATTACTCCAGAGTTTCCCATGTTAAAGAGTCTTAATTGGACACAGAATCATTTTAACAGGTGAAAAGGGGGCAACCTATATAAACGAAAGGCGGATCACGTACTCTGTTGATAGCTGCGAATCGTTGAAAATATCCACAAATGTGCGCATGATTTCTGCTACGGTATCTTTCTGCATTTCCTTACGGATAGACTTCAGACATTGGGCGTATAGACGCACGATTTCGTTTATCACTTTAAAAGCCTCAGCCTTTGACTGAGAAGCACCGGTAGTCGCTTCTTTGCGAATAATGGTAAAGTACGTTGTCAGTAGTACAAGAAGCGACGGAAATGAGGTATGGATAACGGAGAAAAACGCATCTTTGGCGACCTTGGGTTTTGTCTCAACCGACCGAGCAAGACAACGCATTAGGTAGCAGTCACGCCTCAGTTGAGCAACAAGGGCATGCTCCAAGATGCGCTGCTCGTTATGATGCAATGTCGCAGCTTGATTGATGGATTCGAGAATAGGAACTAACAAAGAATGATAGGCATTTTCCCAGGGGCGAGGTCCATTCGGTGCATTGCTGCTGCCACGAAGTGATACCGCAGCATTTAAGATCGAGTTGGACATTGAAGTATATAGGTCACCTTGGATCGCAAGAGGCAAGTGCAAGCTGAATTGGTGTATATGGGCCTCAAGCTGCTTCATGGACGGAATCTGCACAATATCTTCGTATGGCAAAACAAATCCGATGTTCGCAAGCAGTTGCATTGAGTTTTGCATCACTGGTAATGGAGACGGCACGTCACTCATGTCAAGCGTTTTAAAAAGCACTTGAAGTACACTATCTGAAGCATTAAGGACGTCCTGTCTGGCGCCACTCTGGATGACGAATGGAATGCAACTAAGACATAGCCGAATGCTAGTGAGAACTTCGCACTGCAGCTCAACAAACGCACTACCTCGAATGTGCAGTCGGTGATGCACCATATATTCCGCTATCTTGATAAACAAATATAAGGCTTGCCAACCCGCCATTTGCTGATTTATATCGTTACTAGCGCTGTAACAACTGGCACACACAGACGCTAGTATCGCGCAATCAGCCGTCAAGTCGCGTATTACGAATTTTTGTTGTTCCCGCTGCTCTGATTGCTGAGGAAACATGGGCATCTCATGAGTGCGAAAGAGTATCTGATCAGCACAACGTTGGACGCGAGGTGACATGACCTCCAGCAGTGGAAGTGCACATGCCGGGAGTGCAGCTATACGTCGAATTAAGGCAATACAGTCGACAACAAACTGTTTTCTTTCCGAAAGCTCAACTAGGGACGCTGACGCTGTATCGCCCGTGATTCCACTGTTTGCAGCATCCGTTCTAATTTGTGCCAGGTCTTGCAGGGAGCCTTGCCCATACACATTACCCAAAATTTCGATCTCAAATGCATCTGTACTATCTACATCCTTAAAATCGCCATGAGCTCCTACGTCGTCGTCATCACCCAGCTCGTCTAGCTTTCGATTTGATTCATATCTCACACGTTCCACAAGATGTAACATGACACCATGAAGACTTTTATCATATGCTACTAATACTGCTTCGTTCTGCTCCATCTCCTCAATATACGAAACAATCACCTCCCAAGCTCTTAAACAATTTAAAAAAACCTTGACGTGAGGCTGCTTTGTCGTAAATACATATATCGACTGCAGAAAAGTCGGCAAAGTATTTCCATACTTGGGATTTCCCAGTCTTTTGACATGGTGCGTCAGGAATGACTCCACAAATTCACTTACCTTATCCAAATACTCCTCTGTCGCATGTTTAAGAACGTGATCGCCAGTCGTCTTTTGCAGCAATATACATAGACTAGCCATTACGTTTCCCACCAGATCCTCCACTTTTGCAGGCATAAATCTCTTGCTCATCAACTCGGTCAGACATTGAAGCGATACTACACTTGAAGCACACATATTGGTCCATCCTTTAGCGATAACGCGTTCTCCGTTCATTGCAAGCTCAAAAAGCAACGTAATCCATGTGTCGTTCATCTGCTCAGCAACTGGTGCCCATGTAGTAAAATTGTTGAACGTCGTCAGCGCAAGTTCCGCCACACCGTCTTGTTGTACCACTAGCTGTGCCTCGCCTGTCTGTATGAGATGGCTGCACCCTTTCAAAATGTTTTCCAGCAGCGCCAGCACTTTTGTAAGCTCTGCCACCAGCCGCGTCTTTGCTTGTTGTTTGACTATGGCCATCACTACAGCATCGTCGCGTCCGAATTCCTCTACGACAACACTCAGCAGCTTTAACCCACTTTCTCTCGTCTGTTTTGAAACAACCAACGCTTCTATCTCGCTCATAAACTCGGGCCACCTCGCGACTCCTTGCTCACAACTCCCCCATTGGACTCTGGCAATGTCTGCAACAACTTTCCGTAACTTTCGTCGTACAAATGCAACTTGTGTTGCGCCCAATGAGGCTGTAGCAGTCAATAGATAATTCCACACAAACTGACGGAAGCGCAGCTGCTCTGAGACTGAAAAATATTGCCATCTTCTGGCCACATACTCTTCTAACGTGGTGGCAGCAAACCAAAGCGAGTATTCGTTTTGAGAGGTGTTTAACAGGTGAAACAACACAGGCAAACAGACCGCGGGTGTCTCCTTGAATCGTGTTAGTTGCTCCTCTAGCTGCTGCTTGTTATTACAAGGCGTCGTGGGGTCCAGTAGACAGTGAAGCGCACCTTCTACCTCGGCGATCAATGCAGCGTCCGAGTGCGCACTCATACTAATCAAAATATCAACTTTCGGAATCACCAAGACAAGAGTGATGGTGGTGAGTTGAGTACACCACGTAATATCAGGAATGATTCCGCGCTCGTATTCAAGCGACGGCGCTAGAAAGTGGCTGTTTTTCGCACGAGAGGAGACCGATCTGCTGGTGTTTACTGCTGTCGTATCACTAGAGATAAATGTGATCGCACAACTTCGAGTAGATAAGGATGCGCTGAAAGAACATGTAAAAACTCCGAGAAATTCAGTTCAATTAGATTTTGAAATAGTGATGTTGCCGTTGTAGAGTGATGAGCTGGGCCTTGAGATGGAACCGGAAGCGTTTAAAAAGTTGCTGTTGGTAAGCTACTGTGACTTAATAAGGAAAATGTAAACATTTTACGGGAATAATGTGCTTTAAGAAAGCGTTGGAGCAGCGGTCTTGCGTAAGCGTTGAAACTGAACTTGACAATGGCATCTTGAAGGAGGTTTTTCTTTCTCTGACGTACAAGTTCAGCTCATCGATTTCTCGAAAAGGCCTCTTTCGACTGCAGATTGTAGCGAAGGAGATACCGCAAAGTCTGCTGGAGCTGTTGACGAGTATTCATGTCAACCCACCACAACCGATGCTGTCGGAGCAGCAAAAAATAGAACACGAGAGGGTGAAAGCTTTGGATATTTCCAAGAAGGAGGAAATTGACCCTGCATCTGTTACCCGAAACAGTCAGGATACCAAAGACATCTCGATCGCATCACAAAGCTCAAGAAATGAATCGACAACCAAAGTAAATCCAATGGTGCTCAAGCGACGCCACATTCCTACAGGAACCATGTACGTTACCTTCCTTCGCAAGAGTATATTCTCTTTAATTAAAAGGATGGTGCTTGTAATTTATCACAGGCGTCGAAGAGGCTCAAAGGGAGCTAAGTTAGCCAAAAAATAACAATGTAGCATTGCGAAAACGAGATAACAGCAGGTATTCTATCTTTTGCTCGATTGCTATAACTCTTACACTAACCAAAACGACTTCAAGCAAAGCAGTATCGTGCCATCGCAATTGTAAAGGTTCTAGACTATTTTTCTTTTAGCACCCACGGCCGTGTAAGTTTTAATCATGTGCGATCGCAGCCGTGTGCGACATTGATGTATACTCTGGCGTAAACAAAATCATACCCATGTTAGAGCACGGAGATGAGTCTCTCATCAGCTGAGAACATACATGCTTGCAATGCAAAGTTTTTCGTGACTTTGAATTGAGATTTGTGCAACTCATGTCTTTTGGAAACAGCGGACTAAGCTACAATCTTCATTCTCAATAACTAACTCCGATAATTCGCTTTACTGAGATGCAAATAGGTGAAAAACAGAGATGCGCCATCAATTAAGCAGACTCTCAAGCTAATGGATTTCGAAATTAGCATACAACGTACCAACAGTGACTAAAATAGCCAAAACAAAGCTTTACACTCAATCGATGAACGCGCTCCAGTGTATGGAAATGATGCGATCAATCTCGAGCACGAGTCGTGTAAGGGCAAAATTTTGACCTTCTATTTCTGCTGTAGACATTATGTTCGCGATCTTTTGAAACCACGGCTCGTCCCTTTCAAACTATGCTCAATGCACCAAGCAACATCGTTGCTGGACAATTTGAGCCGTTCGATTTCCTAAGCCGAAACTTTGTAGGCTTCATGCTCGCGCTAAAAGCGCCTCAGCTCCATGTCAGGGTAGATTTAATGACCCAATATAGATAGCTCCACCAGATGAGAGATGTGTGGCGCTCAATGTCCTGAACTTCCTGTCGGTCTATGACTCATGGCATTCCAGCCACACCATACCTAGAAAAAACCATATCCATATCATAGTTCGGGTCTAAGACGCGGATGTTTTTTACGGTTTGCCTTCATCTCAGACATGTGAAATCTCAAATCTTGAACATAGTCTGTCTGTCAATTCTTGCCGCTATCGACGGACGAATAATACTCAATAAAAAGAAACGTCTGGTTTGGGGAACAACCGTGACACCTGTCGCTTTAGCACTTTCATGCTTCCAATGCATTTTTTACCGAGGTACTGCATGTTAGTGCTCATTATCGCGAGCATTTTTTAGGCCTGAAACCGCATCTTTGACATGCTGTTGCTCCAACTGAAGCATAGCCAAAAATACATGACCATCTCAGCTACTCTCACTAAACAAGTCGTTTTACTTTTCCCTGTCCTCGGAGGGCTGAACGTCTATCATAGGCGAACTCACGATGAAAGCCGGTAGTTATCCCATCTCGAGAACGCCTCTAGGCGAATTATCACCACTTCAAGCTGTTGTGCCGCCAGTTATCTTGTAGTATCGACTCGAGCTTGAGTAGCGCGTATGTTTGCCCCGACGAAAGTGCTACCATATGATTAATGTGCATACTGCAAATATGGAGTTTAAATTCAAAAATGCTGCTTCTACAATCTGACAGAGATTTAGTTTGTACGCTCCGCACCGGGAGCGATCCTGTGGTGCAGTGGTTCGCCACTCATTTCAGGACCGG